ACGATGAGTACGGTATTTCCTTTGGAACTTAGCAACACTTTGCCTAATCCATTCATGGATACAAGCAATATGATGGCATCAAATCACTATTGTAATCGTTTTTGCATTATTTCTAATTAAACATTCAACAATCTATATCTATATCAATACAGAAAAATCAAAAGGGGCAGATCCAACAAATCTCGGCCATCAAACAGTGTTAATTCAACAACCTATATTGTTCCAACCGCGAGCACTCAACATGTTTAGTGTGTAGTTAATAACATACCAAATATGACTATCCAGGTAATTAACATGTAATTGATATCCTACCTAATATTAACATGCTATTAATTTTTTTTCTAATATCAATGTGCAATTAGTTTTCTGCCTAATATCAATGTGCATTGCACGTACGCATTTACTAGTGTTTATAGTGTCTCACTCCAATTCTTATACACAAAACTCTTGTGCATCTTAAACGACCATGTCTAAACACTCAACGATACTATCAACATGATTTGGCCCTCAATCTTGCACAGAGCATTTGACACTTCTTGTATTTTTCATATTGTTTCGGCTGATTCTTAGCTTGTCCTCATGCATCGGGCAAGGCGACTATCATAAAGATGGCAACCAACATGAGGAAGGATGAGGCCTATGTGACACTTAAGATGAACAAATGCAAGATGTTGCAGAAGGATCATGATAAAATGGACAATTGTTGGTGGGGATTGAGAAGACTTCACTATACCATCCAACCAAACGTGCCCTAATGGGCGTATGATACTCTTATCTATTTACATATCTATTAGTTGATGTTCAAGAATCAACTGTCGGCTAGGGGTCTCCATAGCAACGTGGTTAGTGATGAGTAGGCGAGGCGTGTATGACAGCCTTATAGTGAAGGTTGTCATGCATTCGACAAGGTGACACAACATTGTTTTAAATAGGTTCAGTCATCTCGTGGGAGCATGACCTACATTCTATTGAAGGGTCATCGAGAGTGGTGCTCAGCGCACAAAAATACTTAGAGTGCCAGTGCTTCCGGAGTCCCATGACTCCCGACTAGTCAGGGCCTTATATGTCCCCTCAGATTTTTTTAGTCTTGCTCTTCTTTTACCCTCCTAAAGGGGCCTGGAAGGGTGAGTGACCCTCCTATTGAGTCTATTCAAGTGAGATTGAGTGAGTTACACGGTCATGGGGGACTTGTATAGCCCAGGGGTGCTTGATAGACGACCAAGGCTACCCTTGAAGTGAGGAGGTGGCACAATAGAACTAGCTAATTATCTAGGCCCATGTGCCCCTTATTGGGCTAGGAGGTGGGTTATAGCCCGTTGAGTGGATAGTTCCTACTCCATGGAGAAGTGTGTCTACGTTGACCTTGGGCTTTCTTTGTTCTCTTTGCATTCAGCTTTAACTTATTCTTTTATGAGGTCATCTTCCTCTGATTTATTGACCAAGAAGTCTTGCTTGGACTTTTGTTGACCGGGAGGGCTTGCTTTGACCCATGAGGGGGGAGGGGCTTGGACTATTATTGACTGCCTTGACTAGTATTGAGTATGAACTAGATTTGACTCTTGTTGATCATCTACGTGGCATGCCATGTAGGATAGGGGTGGTTCCTTAAGTAGGATTAGAGCCACTACTTCAATACTATATATTGTGATAATGTCTACTATTTTCATTTCTTCTCTTGAAAATCTTTGTTTTCTAATCTACATTTACTCGTGTGTGGGGCCTCTATTTATCCGGTTATGCTGGCCTTTGATGACTGACTAAACGGTTATGGCAGCAGTGACCCAGATGGCAAACCGCCTCTCCTTCTCTTTGCTACGACATTGAGTTTTATACAATAATTATTTGGTAAATTGGTAGGTGTATGACCCTCTACACTTCAACAAGACCTGCTTTAACGTCGGGATAAAAGGAGGAGGATAGTAATCCCGGACACCTAAAGGGAATATGAGTACAGTAATTCCTTGGAAACTTTGTATATTGGCCCTTTTTAGACAATTATACATTCTAGAAGTCAATCCTAATTGATCAATAAAAATACAATTCATGGAATTCCTTTTTTGTTTTTTCTTCTGACTAGTTAATATTTTTTTTGAAAAGTAAAAAGGAGTGGAGTAAACCTTTTTTTTCTTCGAAACTACTGCCCTCTCCGCGTGTAAAGATGGAAGATCAATCAACCAAATTACGAGAAGCCTCATAAAGCATGTCCTTAGGGGTTAAATCTTGACATTACTTCTAATTAAACATTACACTATGTTTATAGTGTTCCACACCAATCCTATACAAAATGCTCGGAATTTTGTGGATGCTAAATGGCCACACTCGAACATTCTGTGATGAAGTTCCACTGAGCAGTCGAGGCTTACGGTATGGGCCCCAAGACAAAAGAGGGATGATAAATACAATGTCAGCGGCTCAGCACCTCTTCGGCGAAACTCTTACTCCCCCCTCCTTCTCGTCATGTTTCTACCTTTCACCTTATTTCATGATTCGTCCTCATCCACCTGGTAAAGGTGACTAGTGTAAAGGTGGTGACCTACAGGAGGAAAAGAGGTCACACGAGGGAAGGATGAGGCATATGTGGCACTTAGAGGATCAAAGGCGAGATGATGAAGAATGATCGTGATAAAAAAGGATAATTGTCGGTGGAGATCGAGAAGACCTCCGTATCCTCTGCGGCCAAACGTGTCATGAAAGGGTATACGACAATCCTATCTATCTATCCATCTATCTTGATCACGTCTATCTCTTTTCCTTTTCTTCTCTTGGTGATCTTTGTTTTCTAGTGTATACTCACTCAGGGCGGTGCCTCTATCTATCTCGTGACGATGTCCTGGTCTCGGGATCTCTATCTAACCGACGTTAGCTCCACTTCCTCAATCTCTATCCATCAAGCGATGTTGGCGTTCGTTTCTAGACGACCGACTAAGCGTTACGGCGGCACCTACCACCTACTTCCTTATCTTCGCTTTTCATTGCTAGAAGACACAACCCACACACGCCACCGAGCTACACGACATCGCAAGCGTGCGCTACAAGCATCTTCCGTATACAATTGACCACAACCATGGAGAAATCTAGAATCTCGTAGAGTTCTTATCGAAGCCGCCACGTGTTGGTAAACGCGAGAATGGGGTGACTTGAGTCTTGACGAAACGCAAAGTGGTGGTTCTCATCAATAATTACGCTTTTGAGTCTTGTAACACAGAGAGAGATGGTTCTTCGCCGCCTCACCGAGAGTTGGTTCCCCACCTTAGCCATGTCGGCCATCGACTACCGTGGACATACAACATTTTAAACAACACACAAAACACACAAACATACACGCAACCGAATCCACCATAATGACCGAAATCTTCTTCACGTCAATCATATATTCATATGGCCCATTGAAATCCAGGGATTCCTTCGCAATAAGAAAAACAAATCTGCATATATGTAAGCAGCTGAGCATGATCTATCAAACACTTGCAGAATATACTCCTACTCCTAGCTACAACCTTCTGGCATTTTCTAACGGGTTCTACAAACGGCATCCGCTCAACCGGAGCAACAACCATCGAGGCCGACCACCAACCAAAGCAAACAAATGACCGCCCCCCTGCCCCACCAGTGGCACACCGGGTAAATAACCCGCAACCCGGGGCCTCTTTCCGCCCCCACTCTCCTATAAATCCGGCAGGACAGCTCACCTCCCTCACCCTCTCCAATCTCTCTGACCGGTGGACTCCGTGTGGGCGGAGCGAAGTGGGAGCCAACGCCAAGCCAGCCGAGCCGACTCCTCTCCTCCTCGCAGCAGTTCGTTCCCGATTCGCCCCCAAATCCAGCGCCCTCCCCGCCGGAATCCGGCGCCGAATCGAGCAGGTATGAGGCTCCTCTCCGATCTCCTTGCTTGTAAGGCCCCGAAATGCGATCTCGCCGGCGTTTCGGCGGTCGATTTTGGCGCGGTCGTTGGGTAGGGGCGCCGGTGGTTCCGCCAGATTCGCCTTGGTATTTCGTTCCGTTTCGTAGCATCCGACGGCGCCATCCGCTTTCCCCGTTTCTCACCTCTCGCGTGTTCGGTAGCGCCGCCGCACCCGCCTGGCCTCGCCCGGTTCGCCTCACGCGGCGCTCCCGTTGCGGCCACGGTCTCGATCCTCCGCCGCGCGCCTCGCCGTCCTGGCGAGTGGCACTCCTGAGCCCCCTTCCTGGACTCCAGGGTGCCTCCTTGCCCCGCCACGGATGGGAAGGGGTGGCAGATCTGGGCATGGGGAGTAGCGTTCCGTAAAATTCGGTTCAAAGTTCCCATAGATCTAGATGATAGTTGTGATTTGGCGTCCTTCTGGGTGACGAATTGGTCTATAGAATTTTTAATTTTGTGCGGTTGGAAGATAGATTTACGGTATTATGAAGCTTGGTTTAAGTTGAAAGTTGTCATGAACATGAATTGAAATGGTCGGTGTTACTTCCATTTGTTTTGTAGAGAGTTTGTATGATCATAGTTGAGCGATGGTAAGCGCACCAGCGCGGGATCAGAAAGCGAGGAGTAGGGATTGTGTTCATGGGAGAAGTACAACAGGATATAGGGCTAGAGCGTGGACGGAAGGGGACAGCGTATTCTGGCAGCTTGTTGTTGCTGTCGAAACTTGCCCGCCTTGATGCACTATTCTTGGTGGGCTATTATTGATTGTCAAAAAGTTCTCTCACTGATTTCGGTTGGGTTCAGTTTTATTGCTCGTTGAGGTGTAAATATAGGTTTGTAGCTCAGCATTTTGTTTCCTGAAGTAGCGGTCTAGTCTGATTCTAAAGTTAGATAGCAGCTCTGAAAAAAATTAGTTTCTTAGAATAGAATTACAACATGCATGAAGTTATTTGTAATTTTTGTGTTGTATTGGAGATATGTTGCTCCAATATCATTATGTCCTATGGTGCATTTATTTTCGTAAGCAGGATATTTTACAAGTGTTGTTTGTCACCTGATATATGTTAATCCTTTCTTGCGTGCAGAGAGCTTGAACTGAGCTATGGACAACTTGTGGCATCTCGGAGATGAGTTCCGTGGGCAATCAAAGGTGGTGGAGGACCGCCAATGGTCTCTCATGACATCAAAGCTGGCTGAGATCACAAAGTCAAAGGCTGAGAGGATGAATGACTTTGAGTATGCAAGGATGAACACCGTCCCTGATGTGAAGCAATGGGATAAGCAATCCTACCACCAAGAAGACAACAAGATGGACCACCTCAATCTTGGCCTCATGAACCTGGATCTTAAGATGAACGATCTCAAGATGAACGAGGCTGCCATGAAGTACCCTTTCCGCAACATGGCCTATAACATGAACCCCATGTACCCCAAGGGAAACAACGGTAATGTCAATTCATTCAAGATGAATGTCGGGGTCAACAAATATCCGAATAATCAGAATGGGAAGGAAGCAAACGGCAAACACAATGGTGGTAACAACAACAATGGAGGCAACAGCAACAACAACTCTGTTGACAAGCGCTTCAAAACATTACCAACAAGCGAGATGCTACCAAGGAATGAAGTTCTTGGTGGATACATCTTTGTCTGCAACAATGATACCATGCAGGAGGATCTCAAGAGACAGCTTTTTGGTATGCCTACTATGTATCCTTGTAAATCATTTCACATACCATCTCACACAATTATATGTAAGTTACTCTGTTACTCATGGTTTGTTCTGTTCTGCAGGCTTGCCAGCAAGATATCGTGATTCAGTCCGAGCCATCACTCCTGGTCTACCTCTTTTCCTCTACAACTACACGACCCATCAGCTACATGGGGTGTTTGAGGTGTGTGATTGTTTCATTTGCTGATAACTACGAGCCTCCTTATTTGAATGGAACTGCAAGCCTCTTCATGAATACATTGTAACAGTTGTATTTGTCATACATAAATGCTTATATCATTTGCATGGATAGTTTCGTGTGCTGTTTCTGAATTTCCTTTTAGATGAAAAGTTTTAGCTAGTGTTTTCTTGGAACTGAATTAAATAGGAAATGCCATTTTGGCGGTGTAGATACTCTACCATATGTAATCAAGAACTTGAACTTTCATGTTCTTCTTTCTTCTAGCTGTAATAAAACATGGTAGGTTACCAAATTTATTCCTGTGCTTCTAAGCCAACATTCTCCTGATGTTACGTTCCTATTAGCCAAACGTGCTTCTGTGGCCCTTCCGGTTTTGCCTGGCTGAAATTAGAAGCGTACCTGTTCTCAAAGTTCCATTTCAAATGCACATGCGTCTTGGTTGAACTCTAGCACAAATTATAGTGCTTGTTCTTCAGCATTCTAATCAGATTTTCTTGTGTCTCAGGCTGCTAGTTTTGGAGGATCAAACATTGATCCCACCGCTTGGGAAGATAAGAAGTGCAAAGGTGAATCCAGATTCCCAGCACAGGTAATTAATTTCCAAGGTTGACATATGTTTATTATCAGGCTTGTTTTTCATGATCTGACATATTCATCATCATATCAGGTGAGGATCCGCATTAGAAGGCTTTGCAAGGCCTTGGAAGAGGATGCTTTTAGGCCAGTGCTGCACCACTATGATGGTCCTAAATTCCGCCTCGAGCTCTCCATAGCAGAGGTATATATACCTTACTCCAGCTGCCACGATAATAGATGCTTGAGCAAGACAGGTGGACTGAACATTCTCATCTCAATTTTGCAGACACTGTCACTGCTGGACCTGTGCAAGACGGAAGACGCCTGATCTGCTTTGGAACATGGTTGTGGTTGCTCTGTGGTTCTTTTTAGTAAATATCATCCCTGTAAGTTGTGGAAGATGTTTTCACAATGATCTGTTCCGTCCGTCGTCCATGAAAGCGCAAGCTGTTGGTTGGTGGTGCATTTCCCCCAGAAAGGACCTGGTGCTTGGAAGAAGTAGGCCTCTAAAGATGTGAGCCTGTCTGTGTCGGTGCCGTCTGTCCGTAATCTCGGTGATGTGTATGTTTTTCATATTTATGTATTTGTAGTGCAGTATGCCCGCCGCCAGCGGGGAAACCCCGAAAGACGGGGGATACTGTTGTGATGCATCATGAATGCCCCAAAGTGAGGGCGGTTGATGCTGGGAGTGTATCTGTTGTCTCTGTACCTTACCTTGGTTTGGAAAGTTGGAACCTTGCATTTGACTTATGCTGCTGTTTCTGTACCGCTGCCAGTGTTGGAAGTTGAAACCTTGCAATTTTACTCGTTGCTTGCTTTGTTTGCCGGTTTGGCCTCCTGATGACGCTGTGCCCAAAATACACGCTCCGTTCATCTTTCTTTCACGTTCAGTGGCTTAGGTAATCTTCATTTGGATGATGTATGAATGTACTCCCTCTCCCCGTTACCAAATATAAGTCTTTGGAGAGATTCCACTAAACCCTAAACCTTTTAAAGTGTAGATTCACTCATTTTGCTCACTATGTAGTTCATAGTGAAATCTCTATAAAGACTCAAGGTTGTGTAGATGCAGAGCTGAGAATTGGTGAGCTGAAGTGGTTACATTGTTGGCTAGATCAAGGTTGTGTTGTAGGTGCACCAAATCTTATAGTACGTGTCAAGTGTTACAATCCAGAGTGACATCCTACTGGTGTTGATTGCATCAGTTCAACTGCTCCTCCTCCCGGTAACACATCCCAGGACAAGTAGTCCCATCACCTGTTTTTATTGGGGGCCTGTCTCAGGGTCTCGGCAGGTTGAAACCAATGCTGAGCTCAACGGACACACCAACCAATCCTAGGAGAATATACCATGTCCTGTAGTAAATCACTAGGAATTTTGCAACATATGGGCAAGCTCTTTACCCTTGGCATGTGATGGACACGAAACTGTTCGGTGAGTTGGACATGGAAGCGCGATCAGGTCAAGGTGGTTTCCTATTCTTACTGATGCACGATTCGTCTAGTTTAAAGAGAGAGAAATATCGTCGCTTGCTTCCTAGGCCACTAACTCATGGTGATTCGGTGCTGGCTCCTTGTGTCTATTAGGAACGTATTGATTATCTAGAGAGAGTTCTGTTCTTTACCACCAAGCTGGAATAGCTCAGTTGGCTAGAGCGTGTGGCTGTTAACCACAAGGTCGGAGGTTCGAGCCCTCCTTCTAGCGGATTTTTTATTTTTTTTCCTTTCCTTTTTGTGTTTATTTTTTCTTCTTTCCTTCTTCTAGCGGGTTCTTTGATTTTTTTTTCCTTCCCCTTTTAATTTTCGCGACTAGTATTTTTCTTCTTTCCTCCTAGCGGGTTCTCTGATTTTTTTCCTTCCCCTTTTAATTTTCACGACTAGTATTTTTCTTCTTTCCTCCTTCTAGTGGGTTCTCTCATTTTTTTCTTTCCTTTTTGTCTCTATTTTTCTTCTTTCCCTTTTTATTTTCGCAACTACTGTTTACGCACTAAATCACATCGTGCCCCCCCTATCTTCTGCATATGACATAAACCAAACATCTAGTTTCCATCTATACTGATTTGTTTTAATCAATTTTATCTCCAATTTTTTATTTTTTTTCCTTTCCTTTTTGCGTTTATTTT